CACATTATCCTATAAAGCCAAACATATGCCTACACTAGATGCAGGAATTCTACTCCTAGCTATATACGCCCAAGAAAAAAGCATATGCCTACTAGGATTGTTCCTAGCAGTTATATCCAATATAGCGCCAACTGGAAATAATGCAAATACCTATCAACAGTAGAATGATAAGCAAACTGCAGTATATTCTTACAATGGGATACTGTATTACCAGTGAAAAAGAATACATTACTGTCATGTGCAAGATGAATCACAAAATGGATAGAGGAAGCCAGGTAAAAAAGTACACATGCTAGATTATTTTTTTAAATGATGAGTTAGAACAGGTAAGACTAGTCCAGGTTGACAGAAACCAAAACAGTGATTACTAAGGGGTGGGGGGTGTGGAGGAAGGCAGGAAGGTGAGAGTCTGGGAAGCTGAGATGGGGTGGGGTTGTCTGACTGGGAATGGGATTGGAAGAGTCTTCAGGAACAATGGAAATGTTCTATATCTTGACCTAAAGATATAGAAGATATGGATAACAGTTGGTTAGTTGGGTTTACACATCTGTAAAAATTCATCAAGCTGTATATTGAAGATTTTAAAAAGAAATCCATGAACCCATAGAGATATGGAGGAAAAAGAACTGAATGGGAGATAGACATGGAAAGCTGTTCTTTTTATAAGACTGCCAGCTACAAAATGTGGATAGAATAACAGAATTAGAAAAACACTATTTTGTGAGCATTAATATAATAACTGATTCAGGAAAGAATCGTCATTGGAGCCCAAAAACACTAGGTGAAACATTGTTGGGACACAAGATTTTCATGCATCACTTATTAAGTCTTGAAGGAGAGAATTATGAGAGAATTTGAACAACATGGGAACAAAGAAATCACACTTCACATCAGGAATAACAGGACTAATTGGCATCGTAAGTCTCTTGATGTGACTTGAGAATTCATTACACAATATCTATGTAGATTTCTTGCCAAAAATGCTTACTGTGGATCTAATCATGAGGAAAAAATCAGAAAGCACAGATTGCAGGACACGCTACAAAAACAATTGGCTTGGACTCCTCAAAACAATGTCATGTAAAACAAAAAGAGCTTGAAAGGCCATTCTAGACAAAATAATGCAATATGTTGTCATTGATTGGAAATGGGACAAAGGCGTTATAAATGACATTTTGGGATAGCTGTGGATAAATTAAAACTGATTGAACCCCTTAGTGAAAAGGAGTAGAAAATAAATGTAGCCACTAAAGATGGGAGTCCACAGGGACACCTGCCTAAATTCCCCCCATACTTGGAGATGGAGTTGAGGATGGGTGATTTTTCCTAGGAAATCATCACCAAAGACCTGTCTCCAGGAGGATTTGGCATTTGAGGTAATAGTCCCTGTGTGGCCCAGGAAATCTCATTCATTCAAAAATGAATTTATTGAATTCTTCTCTGAAGAAACACCTCACAATACATCTTTCAGAATAAATAATATAAGAAATAATATAATAAGACCTGTAAATCTAAACACACAATGAATGATTATGAAACCATGAAAAACTAAGCCAGATTAAAGTAGAAAAATACCTTTAAAGTGCTGAGAAAGGGGCCTTCCTGGTGGAGCAGGGGTTAAATTCTCAGCGCTATCAAGCTATTGCCAGCCACTGTGGCCATGAGTTCGATCCCAGGTCAGGGAGCTGACCCACCCACATGGCGCAGCAGAGCTCTCCTGCCTTGCCCGCTGCTCCCCTCAGCAGTGTATTTCAGTAGATCTGCCTGTTCTGTGTCCCACTCTGTCTCTAGTGCATCCTCTCACCCCCCACATCTCTGGCCTACTCCTCAATTCTTGTATGCATAAATAAATAAAAGTAAATCTTTAAAAAAATAAAGTGCTGAGAGAAAAATAACAGTGAGCACAGAACTCTACATCTGGAACTCTTGAATATATTTCAAGACTGAGGCAAAAATAGAGACATAAATGAACAAAGACTGATTCTCACATTTTATCATCGGTAGATCTTCACCGGAGTAACTATGAAAGATGTCCCTCAGGAAGAAAGAAAAGGATTCCAGAAAGTTCTTCTGGAAACGAAGAAGGTGATAAATGTGGGGAAATCTAAACAAACACAGCTATAGGCAACAACAGCAAGAGCAATAAAATAAAACTAATATTTAAGATGGGAGGGTGAGTATGGCATATCCATTGGAACACTGACCAAATTCTTCACCCCTCCCTGACCCACACCCTGCATGATGTGATTTTATGGTCCCTTTAAAGCATGGTGAAAGTAATTTCCCCACCTCTTGAGTCTAGGCTGGTTTAGTGACTTGCTTTGGTGATTAAAATGTAATGAAAGTTACGGTGTGCTCATTGCCGGCTGAGGCTTCAAATGGCCTTGCATGCTTGGCTGTTTGGACCCCTGCTACCAGGAGAGTATGTCTGAGCTAATCTGCTGGACGAATAGGAGGCAGGCAAGCAGAGGTGTCCCATCCCAGGTTATCCTTGGCTAGTCATCACCTCACTGCAGACACATGGCTGAGCCCAGCTGAGGTCAGAGGAGCAACACCATCCAGCTGACACACTAACTTAGAATGGTTCACTATGCAGCAATAACTGACTCATACAGGAGTAATTGAAGTTGAAACATTCTAAGGTCCTCAATTTCTTTAAAGGAATAAATGAATCGATTAGCTTTTACAGTTTCAGTTAAACATTAATTTGTCAAAATGTTAACAAGACCACTAAAAAGAAGATCTTAAATCCATAATCTAAATTTACACTCCAAAGAAGTAGAAAGATAACTAAGCCCAATGTTAGCAGAAGGAGAGAAATAATAAAGATTAGAGCAGAAGTAAACGAAATGATAGTAAACAGTAGAACAGAATCAACAAAACTGAGAATTGCATGTTTTAAAACAGAGATGGGGGAACTGTATTACAGCCATGTACACACACAATCATACAATTCAGATGGTGGTTAAAGGGGCATTATGCTTATCAGATTCATTGGACTTCTAAATGGGTCATTTTTATTGTACGTAAAGTATACCTCACTAAAGTTAATTTTACAAAAGTCCCAAGAGTCAGTTCTTTTAAAAGACTATTAAAATTGCTGAACCTCTGAAAATCCAATCAAGAGAAAAAGAGAGGACACAAAAAAGAAATTCCAGGAATGAAAAGAAGATATAACCACTGATAAAACAGGATTTTAAAGAAAATAAAAATATTTCAAACAACTTAATGGCAAAATACAAATTTTTAGGAAAACTTAAGTTTAAAATTTTCAAAATAGAAATAGAAAATCTGAGTGGCCCCTAAAGTCAATCAAAACACACACAACACCCACAAAAACACCAAATTTACCAGGTGAACACAACTAAATTCTCAGAAAACATGCTCTTCCAGAGGTGGGAAAAATCACTAAATTGGGTAAGTCCCAGAAGTGCAAGTATTCTTTAACATTAGAAAATCTATCAATGCATTTTACAACATTAATAGATTTTTTAAAAGCATACGCTCATCTCAAATATGCACCTTTTCCTACTGTTCAAGAAAATATAATAAAAAAGATAAAAGACATTTTATTATATTTATCATTATTTTTTATTAGGTTACACCATTATAAAACATACATGATGGACAGGTCATGTAAAGGACTATATCAGACATACCAAATCATTATACAGAAACTAAGAGCTTACAAATAACTTAGCATCCATTATCTTCCTAATTATAGCCACTCTCATGGTATTATTTTTTCAAAAATATATAAATGAGGGAACACTTAAAAGGATGAAGCAATTGCCTCAAATTCTAATTGTTTTCATTCTTTTTAAAAAAAGATTTATTTTTTATTTATTTATGCATTCAAGAACTGGGATGTAGGACAGAGGAGGGTGGGGGGAGAGGATTCACCAGAGACAGAGTGGACGGATCTGCTGAGATGCACTGCTGAGGGGAGCAGCAGGTGAGACACGGGAGGTCTGCTGTGCCATATTTGGGTTAACTCCCTGGCCTGGATCGAATTCAGGCCTTTGTGGCTATAGCACTGAGACTTAATGCCTACGTCACCAAGGAGGCCCTGTTTTCATTATGTTGTTGTTTTTTCCTGATGTCATATGTAACATATAAAAATAAAGTGAACATATATTCACATAGATAATACATAATGGAAGAAATTGTGAATCCAGTTCTCCGGTGGGTCTCTCATGCTTGTGGAACAAAGCTACAAATACAAAAATTTTAACGTTGTAGTTTACATTCTTAGTCATATCTTTTTGTTCTTCTCAAATTTGTAACCTACAGTTAAATACTAGTGTTCCCCTGATTTAAAAACTACACTTCTTTCAAAGTTAGATGGAGATTGTAGCCTGGTGGTTTCTCCAAGCAACTCAGCAGCTTATCTTTGGGGAGCAAGTGAATATTCCTCTTGGGACTTAATCCTAACTGGTTACAAACAACCAACATAAACCACGTGCCTTTATGTGTTATCATAATGATGTGCCATTTCAGTGTCAAATTGAAAGATGTCTTGGGAAAGATGGAGAATATTTTTCCTAGTTCCTCTAAGGATAGCTAAAAACCCTGGACATTATATATAAAACAGTATGAGAAGATTCTAAAAGATGGAGAGAATTCAGACTGGCTGGTGATATAAGAACCAGAAAAATGATAGAGCATTGAGTTTCCTGGGTCTTCCTTTTGCCTCATCAATCCCAGAGTGGGTTCTGAAAAAGTTGGTGACCCAAAAACACCATGAGCACAGGCAAAAAGGAAAAAAAAAATAGGTCTAAGAAAAGTCTGTTCTTTCTAGCCAAGACTTGGAAAGGAGCAGCCAAGCAAGATGGAAACCTTTAGACAATAACCAGGCAAAGACCATGGGAAAAAGGCAGCTGGATAGGCCCACATGAACAACAATGAAAGGGATATCTATACTCCCACCCTCCTCTAAGAAGGCTCCTCAGTGGCCTAACCCACCCCCACCCCCACCCCACAGCGGGGTGTCAGTGATGATCAAGTAGGGGACAGGATTTTCAAAACCAATCCCTCTCCCTACCCACCCCAGCAGCATCACTGGAGACCATGTCATGAGTTGAGGCTTCCAACCCTACTAGAGACAAGATGTTTCTCCCCTCCTTACTGGTTTGGTGCCAGTGGAGGCCACATGGGGAGCAGCAAGACTCTCCTACCTTTTCCAGCCAAAGTGGCATCATTGGAGGTCTAGTGCAGATCTGTAATACCACCCCCACTCAGCAGTGAGGACCCCTGTACCAGGTGTCAATAGAGGCCAGTGATGAACCTGGACTCCAATACCAGCTTACAAGTAGTAAATCCCCTCCTCTCAACCCTTTCTCCACCAAACGAGTGACAGTGAGACCTGCCCTAACAGATTTAAGCAGGATATAGGGTCTTATCATTTCTAAATTATCTAGATTTCAACTGAAAATCACTCAGCACACCAAGAACCATAGAAATCTCAACTTGAATGAATAGATAATCCACAGACACCAGGATAACATAACTGTTAGAATAACCTGGGAAGGATTTTAAAACAGCCATCATGAAAATGCCTCAAAGAACAATTAAAAACATGCTTGACATAAATTTAAAAAAATAGGAAGTCTCAGTAAGAAATAAAACACATAAAGAATCAAATGGAACTGAAAAACACAATAAATGGAAATAAAGCCTGATGATGGGGACAGTCCGTGGATTACAGATAAAAAACAGATTAACAGGGCCTCCCTGGTGGTGCAGGCATTTGAGCGCCGCACTGTGAAGCTGTCTACAGTGTGGTTTCGATCCTGGTCGGCCAGCTGGCAAGAATCCCACATGGTGCAGCAGACCTCTTGTGTCTCGCCTGCAGTTCCCCTCAGCAGTGTATTTCGTCAGTCTGCCTGTCCTGTTCCCCGTTCTGTCTCTAGTGAATCCTCTTACCCTCCCGCACATCTGGCCTGTACCCTGGTTCTTGTATAAATAAAATAAATCTTAAAAAAAAAAAAAGATAACACCCAATCTGAACAATATAGGGTGAAAACTGCTATGGGCTGAATTGTGTCTCCCCCACCCCAAATCCGTATGTGAAGCTCTAACTCCCAATGTAATTGTATGTAGAAGTAGAACTTTTAGAAGGTAATTAAGGTTAAACGAAATAGTAAATGTGGGGTCCTAATCTGACAGGACTGGCAGTCTTACAAGGAGGAGGAAGAGAGAGGGAAGGAAGGAGAAACTGAGGGAAGACCTTGAGGCCATATAAGGTAGCTGTCTAAAAGCCAGGGAGACAGCTTTCACCAGAAACCAAATCAGTTGGCACCTTGATCTTGAACTTCCCAGTCCCCAGAATTATGAGAACTAAATTTGCCTATTTTGTTATGGCAGCCCAAGCAGATTTTGGTACCAAGTGCTGCCACAACAAAGACCCAAAAATATGGAAGTGGCTTTGGAACGGGTAATGGGTAGAGGCTGGAAGGGCTGTGAGGTGCATGCTAGATATGTGGCTGTTAAAGGTCATTCAGGAGAGAAGAGAAACATGTTACTGGAAACAGGAAGCAAGGCAATCCTTGTAAAGTGGCAGAGAACTTGGCTGAACTATGTTCTAGTATTCTGTGGAAGGTAGAATTTATGATAAATGAGATTGGCTATTCAGCATAAATTTGTCAACAAAGTACTGAAGGTGCAGTTTGGGCCCCCCTGATTGCTTATAGTAAAATGTGAGATGAATTGAGGAAGGAATTGCAAAGCAAAAAGGATCTAGAATGTAGAGATTTGGAAAATTTTGTCTATATTACAAAATATGAGAAGGCTTGATCTGAAATTGACACTAAGGATGTGGCTCAACATCTCTGTAATAAAGAGACCATGGGCAGGACTCATGGACTTACTCAACGATCTAAGCAGAAGCCAGGAACAGAAATGGGATTATACCAGCAAAAACACTGCCCAAGGGGACAGAAAAAAAAAAAGTGAGCAAAATGAAAGGAGGTTTTTTGGAGCCTCTAGAGCCAGACAATAGAGCTATTCAGCTGCAAACCTGTGTTATGCATCAAGGAAAGGGAAGAATGACTCCAAAGTTCATTCAGAGATCATCAGGCTGCCTTCCCAGTTTCAAAGGGTTGGGAAACTGCCTCAGTTTCAACTAGTTATGTGGCTTCTAACTGTAACCCTGAGGCTGCCCGGTGAAGTCTTGGTGGCAGTGAAGCAGAAGTTGCTAAGTCTGCTACTTGCTGCTGCTTGGATTCTGCTCCTTGCTGAAGCAGAAAGTTGCTGGGTGTGCTATTTGTCCACAATAGTATGGACGGCTGCTTTGACCCCCTTCCCAAACAATAGAGTCTATGATGGATTGGGTGACAACTTCTGCATACAAAATGTATAAAACCTTACCATTCCTGCTACTGGGGATCAGACTTTCGGGAGCTGTACCACTGGGTCTGCAGGTGAGACAAATAAATCTCTCTCCACCTCTCTGTGCCTTCTGGTTTCTCTGAAAAATCGCCTTAACAGCAGAACTGCCCCTCCAGTGAATCAGGGAGGCAGAACCAATGTCTTTGTGGGTCTAGAAGGCATTAAGTCAAAGATTATTGCCAAGCCTTAAGTTATGATGGAATTTTCTTGATAAGTTTTGGACTTGCTTAGAACCTGTTAGCTTTCTTTTCCTATTTCTCCCTTTTGGAATGGGGATGTCTACCATATGCCTGTCCTGCAATTGTATTTTGCAAGCACATAACTTATCTGGTGAGTGGGAAGGTGAGTGGGAAGTTGCTGCACCTCCCCCTGCAGTGACCCTCAGGGCTAATGGCTGTTGCCATGGTCCCTGAGGTCCGGTGTGGGCAAGGAACCATGTGCGCAGGGGGAGAACAGCAAACTCCCTAAGATGCAGAAAAGCCGAATGCCTGCCAAGAGATAACGACCACCAGAAGCTGCCACAAAGATGATTAAAAGAAATGCTGACCACCTGGAACCTTATCTCGCTTTCTCAAGGCCTACAAACTTTATTCTGCTACAACTGTCTTTCTAAAATCTTTCCTTTTTCTGGTCATTGATTGCTAATTAAAAAACATACGTAATTTAATAATTAGGCTAATGCAAATGAAACATTACTAAACACTGTGTTATAATAGAATTGTTAGTTTAATAATCTTTCTATTATGTGCTTAACTTTAGTACCTTTGATATTAACTGCATTATAATATAAATTCACCCATGACAATTAATTATGAGTAAACATAAGTAGGTAGTAGTAGTAGTAGTAATTAGTACAAGAATATAGAAAGAGTTAATAGCCTGTCTACTTAGGAATGCAGCTAGGTCCAGATGTATTTTGGACATAAATCACTGCCCTGTCAATGATAAGCTAAACCTATGAGCAAGCTGATTTCTTTGATGTTTACCGATCCTATGCCTTTAGAAAAAACATATATATACTAACCACTAACTAAAATAAAGAGCACTCAGATTTACACTCTCTCTTGAAGTGTGTCTGTTTGTCATTTCTTTAACCGAATCCCTGACCACCCTGCGCAGTCTCTCAACCCTGAGACGGCCTCATCGTCTACTGCTGTTATGGTCCGCGGCAGGAAGTCTACCTCAGGATGAATTATACCTTGAGTCTCACCCATATTTGATTTAGGTGATTTTTAGATGAGACCTTGGGCTTCAGAGTTGATAGAATGAGTTATGACTGTTGGAATGAATGTACCTTTGCATGTAAGAACATGAATTTGGTGGGGTCGGGGGGAGAGGGAAAGAATGATATAGATTGAATTTGTCTCCCCCCAATTTTTATGTTGAGGTACTAACTCCCAGTGTGACTATTTGGAGACAGGGCTTTTAGGAGGTAATTAAGGGAGATCATAAGACTGGGTCCTAATTCCCTAGGACTGGGGGTCTTGTAAGAGGAGAGAAAGCACATGCATGTACCAAAGAAAGGCCATATGAGGACACAGCAAGAAGGTGGCCTTCTGCAAACCAGGAGGAAAGCCCTTACCAGAGAAAAAAGATGAACACCTTGATCTCTGCTTCATAAATTTCTGTTGTTTGAGATACCTGGCATATGGTATTTTGTTAGAGCAGCGTGAGTAGACTAAGACAAAGACACACTGAAGAAAAAAAGAAAAAAAAAGGAACTTGTGGTACTATAGGCCAAGATCTAACATTTGTACCATCACAATCCCTGCAGAAGTGTGTATTCAAAGAAATGATGTCTGAAAATTCCCCAAATTTAGCACAAGACATAAACCTACTGTTCAGACTCAAGAAACTCAGCAAACAGGACAAACTCAAGAAACTCACACCAAGACACATCAAATTCATGAAAACTAAAAACACAGCACTCAAAATGTTTCCAATAACCTTCAAACTTTCAATGAAAAAAATACATATACAAAGATGTCATCTGTATCTATCCTAGGGGAAAATGGTAAGAGGCAAAAATTTCAAAGTCTTTTCAAGTTTTGTACAAGCTAATATGCAGTGTCAATTCAAGTCCACAACTAAATTTTACTATGATATGAAAAAGTCTAAAGTAAAAACTACATACAACTGAGGTAAACCTTCATAAATAAGCACATTCCAAGTAACAGATGGCTTACAATAATTGAAATCCTCAAAGGCCCCATCTGTCCTCTCCCTTTCTAGGCTGCAGGTCTTGACACTTGGGAGTTAATGTGATTCTTGGTCTCAATAAGCAGGGTCTAAAAGACAAAAAGCGTAGAAGCAGACTCCCAGGCCAACATTGCCTGGCTTCGGGGGAAAGCTGCCCTCAAGGAGATTTTGCAACAAATCTGACTAATATTTTTCCAGATGTGAGCACTCATTTTAGTAGTTATCTCATCAACACCTCAAGTTCACGCCCCAGGTCTTTTCCCCTGTCCTTTCCATCTACCTTTACTGTACCCTTGCATTTAAGACTAAGGACAACGTCCCTTCTACTTCGACTTTCCATCCTGGACAAACTCTTTTCTACCCCTGCAATTCCCCTATCTCTTTAGAACTTTATCCCCTTAGCATGATGAGATTACCGAGTCAAGACGTCCTTTTTTCACCATGGCATACTCTATTTCTCACAATGATAAGATAGCTTAATACATATTAAAATATTGGAAATAATTTTCCTCTTTCCCCAAGAAAACTCACAATGTCCTCCATTGGGGCATTTTAAAAAATGTAAAACCCTTCTTTCATATTCTGAATAAGCTATGCTTCATATAAACAATGATTTCTCAATTAATATATGTTTTATAAGTTTTAAATTTCTTTGTAGCCCCCACATTGCATACAGTAAATGTCCAATAAATATGTCTGAATGTGCCACATTTACACAGTCTATCCAGTATGAATTCTCTTTTGCTGGCCAAAGGCTGAATGACCACTGAAAGCTTTTCCGTATTCCTTGGTTTCTCCTCCAGCATGAGTTTTCTGATGTTGAGAAAGAGATGAACTCTGGCTAAAGGCCTTTCCACATTCCTTACACTTATAGGGTTTTTCTCCAGTGTGAGTTTTCTGATGTTTTGTAAGAGAGGAGCTCTGGCTGAAAGCTTTTCCACAATCCTTACACTTGTAAGGTTTCTCTCCAGTGTGTGTTCTCTGATGACGAATAAGGGCTGAGCGGTCGCTGAATGCTTTGGCACAATCATTGCATTTATAGGGTTTCTCCCCAGTGTGAGTTCTCTGATGTTGAGTCAGGGCTGAACAGTAGCCAAAGGCTTTCCCACATTCGTTACACTCATAAGGCCTCTCCCCAGTATGAGTTCTCTGGTGCTGAATAAGACCTGAACGATCACTAAAGGCTTTCCCACATTCATTACACTTATAGGGTTTTTCTCCAGTGTGAATGACTTGATGTTGAGTAAGGAATGTGCTTTGGCTGAAGGCCTTCCCACATTCGTTACACTCATAAGGTTTCTCTCCAGTATGAATCCGCTGATGTTGAGTAAGGTATGAACTCTGGTTAAAGGCCTTCCCACATTCATTGCATTCATAGGGTTTCTCTCCAGTATGAATTATGTGATGCCGAATAAGGGCTGAGCGGTGACTGAAGGCCTTCCCACATTCATGACATTCATAGGGTTTCTCTCCAGTGTGGATTCTCTGGTGCAGAGTAAGGTGTATGCTCTGGCTAAAGGCTTTACCACATTCGTTACATTCATATGGTTTTTCCCCTGTGTGAATTCTCTGGTGCAAGACAAAAGCTGAATAGTAACTAAAGGCTTTCTCACACTCATTGCACTTCCAAGGTTTCTTTCCTGCACAAATTCTCCCATGCCTCATGAGGTCTGAATTTTGTTTTAAGTTCTTTTTAAATGGATCATAATTATGCAGTCTCTCTCCCTGCTGTTGAACAAGTAATGACCTCCGACTGAAATTTCTTCCAAATTCATCACACTGGTAACTTCTGTCCCCAGAAGATTTCTTCTGAATGACCACCTCTTGTATTAAATGTTTCTCATGGTTTTCCTGTTGACTCTTTAAAGAATCCTCACATTCACTGGAAGCTTCCTTTGGAAATCTTTCTATTAACACCCCAGGGGCTGATTCTTCTTCAGAAATGTCCCTCTCTGGAGTTAGCCCCTTGTTTTCTGAACGTTAGGAAAAAAAAATACATATGTATCATTTCCTACTGTGAGAGAAAAATAACTTCTGTGATAGGAAAATAATGAAACAAAAAATGCTTCTAAGAAACACGTGAACATAAAAGAGCTCAAAAATAGCCTTATATTATCAAGGAAACAAGAGAAAAGAAAGATGACGAGGCAAACAAGTGCAGTTACGAAAAGGTAGAGGGTAAGCGGGTACTCAACATTCCTTTGAGTAAGAAATGAGAAAGAATAACAAGAACAAGACTAAACAGCAGTGATGTGCGGAGATGGGAGATAAAAACAGGTTCTAGTGGAGAAGGGGCAGGGCTCAAAGAAGGATGGTCTCCCAGGATTGACCATGATCACCACCTCATCAGAGCCTCATCACTTCAGGCCTCATCACTTCAGGCCTGGGGAATGACTATCACTGCTAACCTTTCAAAACCATTCCTTTTACACAAAAATCACTGTTGGTTTGGCTGTTTCAAGATGAGACACAAACTCTAGAAGCTAACATTCAACATGGTCCAGATCTATAACTTCAAATCATCACAAAGCTCAGTAATTACGAAGTAATTGGTCATCTCTGACTGCCCCAAACTGAACAGATTGGGAAGAAGAAAACAAAACCAAGTTTTAAAAATGAATAGCATGTGAAAAGGGGAAGGTTGGATCCCCACGTGCTCAGATTGGCGTCCAACCTGTCAGGATACCTAACATCAAATCCTAGGCGTCTTATTAAGAGTTTAGGGGTAAAACTTTACTGTTAGAAATGTTGACATAGTTCTAGGGTTAAATGGTTTCTAATATTCATTCCAACCATGACTCTACATGAAATAAATTGATATAGGACAATGTTCTCAATAATATATCATAATTAGGAAAATGCCTGGGGCTTTAAAGGGCAAATGGGTAGAAGCAGGTTAAAGGCAAAAGACTTCCAGATAAGGGTAATGGAAGAATTAAAGCCCCAAGTTTCATAGAGAATACAAGTTGGGATAATAAGAGGCTTGCCTGTCTGCTGTTAAGAGTTGAACAGGAGAGCCAAACAGGCAGGCAGACTAACAAAGGCCTTGAAAGCAAAACCACATATCTGATAGAAAAAGCAACTCACTGTGGGGAATCTAGTAGTATTATGCTGACTCATTTAGATAAGAATAAGACTAAAGAAAGTATAATTAGCTGGCAGTCTACTGCAGTAATCCAGTTTGACAGAAGTAGTGAAATCAAATCCACATTACCTTTTAAAAAAGTTACCAGGACTTAGTAGCTAACATTTACTTAGCATATAGCTAGGGACTGTTATAAGCAATTCTCTTGAATTACTTCATTTGATCATCACAACAACTGGGGATTGTGAATCACAGAGAGGATAATTCACTTGTTCAAGGTCCCAAAGTTAGTGAGACTGGCTTTGAGCCCAGGAAGACTGGTCCCAAAGTCTGTATTCTCAACCATGGCACTATGCTGTCTCCACTTACATAGAGGAAGGCAGAGAAAAACTCATCAGGTTGTAGTCATTGATCTGAGATTAAAAAAAATCACATTATCTTAACTAACATATATGAAAAAGCCTAATTTAGAGCCTTGGACCCAAGCGAATAACAAGCAAACATTAAAATGTTGATTTTATAACACTTTATTTGGGGAAAGAATTGGTCTGAAAGGGTGGAAAGTATTTCATTTGTAAGAAATAAAATTATGAGTTTTTCACAGATCATCATCCAGAGAGCCGGAGTATTACATGGGAAAAAGTGACTTTACTGTCTCCATGGGTCTAGTAAAATCTGGAGAGGTCCACATAAACATTTTGTGATCACAGTATCTCCCTGGTCTGGTAAATATTCCACAAACATTTCGAAGATGCTTTTCCCACTGACCACCTGTGTTTTATAATCACTGTTTCCAGTAATAACTCACCTGGACTAGATGGTTTTGAGACCTCTCTCTCGAGCGCCTCCCCACACTCCAACTGCGAGATTACATCAGGTTTAGAGATTGGAAGCCCTGTTCATGGGTAAAGAAACAGGAGTCTGGTAAAGAGCTCAGCATTAGCTCCTTGGTTGTTAGGCTGTTAGGGGGAGAGGAAAGGAGACAGGGGAGAGAGGGAGGGAGAAAGGGGAGGGGGGAGAGAGAGAGAGAGAGAGAGAGAGAGAGAGAGAATACAGGAGAATATGATAGAAGGTGTCCATTTCTAACTCTAAGAGTATTAAAACTACATCCAGAAACAAAAAAGCAGAAATTGCCTGCCTCAGGCCTTTCAGGGATTCAGAAACTGAATCTAAGAACCTCAGTGCTCCTAGGAACTGAAGAAGCAAAGGGATCACACTGGGAAAATTCACAGCGGAAGGAAGCCATACTCACCCAGCAAGACCAGATTCCTGGGTTTCTCAGGCACATCCCCTTGAGGAGGGTTCAACTGTCCCCACTGGGTGAGAGCTTCGGCCATATCCCTGATCATCAACGACTCCTGAAAAACCAAACAGCACTGTATACCAAGGAAGCTCTTTCCATAAGTCTCGGGAAGGACTCATGCTGACACAGGAAAAGGAAGACAAGAAGGTTAGACAAAATGACCTCTTATACCCCTTCAACACTAAGATTCTCTGGCATATCTGTAGCCAGAGACTTGCTCCTTGTCTCTCTGCATCAAAATGTATGTTACCTGCAAGTGGAAAAAGGCACTTCAGTGTAAAATCTAAAGTTATTGGCTTGTGTATAAATTAAATTATAGAACTATAGGAATCCTTACTGTTTAGACATGGGAAAGTAGAGGAAATATGGTTATGCTTAAGTATTTTATTTGTGATATGGTTTTAAAACATAAGGGGATAAAAAATATGAAATATTTTTTCTCTACAGTTTTCCTTTTAAGAATAAAATCAGTTCAATGCATGTTAAAAATTAAGACATTTGCTACATATGTCACAGAATATAGATTTATCTGTAAAATAGTATCTCAGGCCCAGAGTTATTAGGCAAGTTACCAAAATGCTCTTACCATTTCTCACATATCCTTGATTGGTCTGGTCCCTCATGTATGCTACCTACACACACTGCTCCTCCCACATTCTCTGAGTTCCACTTGGTGCTCACACACCAAGCAGCTCCACAGCTGCTTGAAAAGTGTGCCACATTCCCTTTTGCCTGTTTATATGTGCTGCATCCTGTTCCTGAATATTCTTCTTCCTTCCCTATCTTTTCAGCTATTTTAATCTTTCTCACACTACAGATCACAGCTTAATTGTAAACTCCTCAGGGAAGCCTTCCTGGACTCTCTGGGCTGCAGTAACCTGTTCCTTCCCTTCTCTTGGTTATGGACACAAAAGAGGACTGGGATTAATATGTTTCTCCCATTAGCTGGTAAGGTCCATGAGAGAAGAGGTCAAGTCTATTTTCACTCACTGAAGCAGTTCTAGCACCTAACACGGAGCAGGAAAACTGTAAATATCTGACACATAGTTGAATGAAAAAGGAACACATGAATAGGAACTATTAGAAACAAGTTTAAATGGGGTAATCTATAAATGTGTGCATGGAACCAGAGTTGGGGGTGGGAACAGAAGTGTATCAAACATTAAAGACACTGCAGGAGTGTTTACCCTCATTAACCTTGATCTACCCAACAGACACACAGTTTAGAGTGCCAAAATGTCAGGCAAGGGAGCAGTGAAGGTAATGCACCTTTGACTCTAGCTGAATCTGTTTTGCTGGTAAGATTACTGTCTAATAATTTTTCTAATTCTTTAATTCTATGTAACTTCAATTTTAATGAGACACATTACAACAGAAATGCTCAGATGCCAGCAAATAACCATTCTTATCCTTCTTTGTAGCTCCACTTTTGCCATAGTCCCCTAAACATGCATATATATGCATACATACATACATACATACATATATGTATACACACACACATATATGGGGGGGCCTAACTTTGTTTATATTTAGCATTCTAATGTTTATGATACAGTACTCTAAAAACAACTGGCAAAACAAGTCACATAATGAAATAAAGTTAAAAGAACTGTTTTGAAAACCTCCTACCCTAAATAATTTTAATACTTGAAGTATACAATTCACTATCCTTTTTATTTAAATTTATGATCCCTTAAGGCCATATGCCTAAAGTGTGATCAACACAAGCAATATAATTTGTATAGTTTTCTTTTCTTTACAAACAAAGACTAAGAGGGAATACCTGTTAGTTCCTGTTAGCACATTTCTAAGGGAATACTTGTTCCCTCAGAAAATCTCAGCAAGCAAACTCACTTATAAAGCTGCTCTGTGGAGCACATGCCCTGGGACTGGAGGTTATAGACAGACTAGCAGCAGATGCTACCGACGTCCTCGCTCCTCTTCCCTTTGAAAGGGATCTACAAATCCACAGATCAGAATCAGTGCTGGTGTTTTCGCGCAGCTTTCACATGAATCAACACCACCTTTATGCTCTGAGGTGAGGTCTGAGGTTGGTGAGTAGTTCCAGTGCCTTTGACTTTACAGCAGGAGCTGTCATTCTCCCAGTGGCCTAGGGCAGATCTTACAGAAGCATCTTGACTAATCTCTCTCCAATCAGTCAAGGTATGCTTTTGCTGGACCTCCAAAAACTTTCAGACAACTTATTTGTCCAGTGTGTAATTTTCTGTGGCCTGGCTACAACATACCCAGGTACCCATCCCAGTACTCCAGCACATTCCACAGTGACACACACCCACCCCTGGCAGACCTCTAACTCTCTCATCACTGAATTTTTTTTTTTTTTTTGTCAAAACTGTCTCTCTATTGGCATATTCCTGTATTCTCTTCTCCAACTACCTACTCTCTCTCATTTTTCCTAAATTATAGCTTTTATCCAAGTACATGCCTCTCAACTACTCTAGAGGATGGACATCTATGGTCTTTTGTGAGTTGTCTGTACCAGTCATTTCTACATTTAAAAACTGTTTCTTGGGCCTCGCTGGTGGCTCAAAGAGTAAAGTCTGAGCACCATGAAGCTACTGGCAGCCACTGCAGCACGATTTCGATCCCTAGCCAGGGAGCTGACCCACATGGCCCAGCCAACCTCTCCTGGCTTGCCTGCTACTCCCCTCAGCAGTGTATTTCAGTCAATCTGCCTGTTCTGCTCCCCACACAATCTCTGGTGAATCCTCTCACCCCGCCTCACACCTCTGGCATATACCCCAGTTCTTGGACGCATAAATAAAATAAATCTTTAAAAAAAGTAAAAACAGTTTCCTCTTTAACTGTTTCACAATTTTACTGATCTATATTTTATTTTCACAGTAACTCCATGAAGCAGGGGGCAATTGGCTTTTCTTTTTTTTTTTTTTTTAAATATTTATTTGTTTATGCATACAAGAACTGGGGTACAGGCCAGAAGTGCAGGAGGGTGACAAGATTCACCAGAGACAAAGTGGGGAACAGAACAGGCAGACTGACTGAAACACTGCTGAAAGGAGCAGTGGGCGAGACAGGAGAGGTCTGCTGTGCCATATAGGTATCTCCCTGGCCCGCCAGGGATCGAGGATTGAACTTGTGCTGCAGAGGCTGTGGATAGCTTCATAGTGCTGTGCTTTACCTCTTGCACCACCAGGGAGGCCCAACAGGCTTTTATTTCTTTGCACCTCACCACAGTGGCCAATTATGGTACTGAATAGCTATAAGTGTGCACCAAGTACTAAGTGGGTACAGAAGTAATACTGGAAAGGCAAGT